CCTGCTCCATCTCAAGTAAATATACACCTATTTTTCAAAATTTCAACGTTGTTTCAACTACTTTAAAACTGTAAGAAAGAATGATCTATGAAAACATCAGTGAAAGTGAGTACATAGGGTGCAACTGTCTCCTACCCTCGGACTCCAGTGTGATTCTGTAGCCATCTCAGCATCCTCAACTTTCCTCAGGACCCTCCTGATGGTGTGTCTCAGTGTTTCTTTTTCTGTACCACGACTTCTACCCAGAAACAAACTCGAATCTATAAAAATACTTTGGTCCAGCCTGGGCAACTTGGTGAGACCTCATCTCTACAATAAATCAAAAATTAGCTGGGCATGGTGGTGCGCACCTGTAGTTCCAGCTACTTGGAAGGCTGAGGCTGAAAGATCACCTGAGCCCAGCAGGTCGAGGCTGTGGTGGTCATGAACGTGCCACTGCACTCCAGTCTGGGCAACAGAGTGAGACCTGACTCAAAAAAAAAAAAACCCAAAAACCTTTGGCTTCCTATGTTATGAGCACTCAAAGCCTCAAGAAAGGGATTCTTTTGTGAAATGAGACTTGCTAAAATATTATACAAGAAAGTAAAGCGGCTGGGCTTGGTGGCTCAGCCTGTAATCCCACGCTTTGGGAGGCCGAGGTGAGTGGATTGCCTGAGCCTACGGGTTCGAGACCCGCCTGGGCAACTTGGCGAGACCTCATCTCTACAATAAATCAAAAAAATTAGCCGGGCGTGGTAGCGCGCGCCTGTAGTTCCGGCTACTCGGAAGGCTGAGGCGGAAGGATCGCCGGAGCCCAGCAGGTGAGGCTGCGGGGGCCGGGAGCGGCCACTGCACTCCAGTCTGGGCGACAGAGTGACTCCAACTCCAAAAAAAAGCAAGTAAAGCAAAGGGCAGAGCTATCCCCTCAGCACTCATGGCTGCAGACAGGAAGCTTTTCTCTGCTCTTCCTCACCTTTTCTTCACGTGACCCCCCCAGTGGCCGGAAGCTGTGTGGAGGGAAGCTCTGGTTCTCCCCCGGGCGGCCGCCTCCCCCCCATGTCCCTGGGTGTGGCCTGAGAAGAAGTTCCAGCCTTTACTATGGATGTGGGCCAACATGGCAGGTAGCACGTGGGCCACTGCATGTGGGTCAGAGAATACAGGATCGGGTGCCCCCTGCCAACCACTGGGCACAGCACAGCCACTTGGCGTTTGCTGGTCTGCTGTGACAGCATGTTCCTCCCAGCAGGCCTGGTGAATCTCTGAAATTCTATGTTCTGATTATTCCATGCCATAATTCTGGAAATTCAAACTGAACCAGAGTCCACCATCCTGTGCCTTGATCAGAATGGATGGAGATAAGAAGCAGCCAAGTAGATGGCCAATAGATAAAAGTCCACTGATTTCATATACATTAGCAATAATGTACAGGAACAATTTGAAGGGGAAAAAACACCATTCACAACATCACCCCCAAAGCTGAAGTCATTATATATGTCTATCAAAATACATACAAATATGCTTCCGGGAAACCTAGAAACACAGTTGAAAGAAATCAAACAAAATCTAAATAAATTCAAAGACATTTCTTGTTCAGAACTGATAGACTTCAGTATTGTTCACATGCTAATTCTTCCAAACAAGATCTTTAGATCCAGCTCAACCACAACAAAATTACCAGAAAATTGCTTCTAAACCTAGAACAGATGACTGTAGCAGAACAAAGTTGAGGAATTTACACATTCATAATGTGTACATAAAATGGTTGAAATAAACTAGTGAAGGAATAGACAAATAGATAAGTGAAACAGACTAGGGAGTCTAAAACAGATACATGCAAATGTTCCTTAGCCATGTGATTGTGTCAAAGGAACAAAGGTAATTCAATGGAGAAAGTAAAGTATGTTTCACAAATGGTGAGGGACAATAGGAAACTACATGGAGAACATGAACATAGACACAAGCTTTATGACTTATACAACCTTTCATTCAAAATAGCCCATAGACACAAATTTAAACTGAAAATCTGTAAAAACTCCAGGAAGATGTAGAAGAAATTCAATGTGACACCATGTTTGGTGATGAGTTTTTAGATACAACACCAAAGTCAATCCACAAAAGAAAAAAATTGATAATATCAACCTTATTAAATTAAAATTTTGTACTCTGTGAAACACACTTTTTTTTTTTTTTTTTTTTTTTTTTTGAGTAGGAGTTTCACTCTGTCACCCAGGTTGGAGTGCAGTGGCACACTCATGGCCATCGCAGCCTCGACCTTCTGGGCTCAGGTGATCTTTCCACTGCAGCCTTCCAAGTAGCTGGAACTACAGGCATGCGCCACCATACCTGGCTAATTTTTTGATTTATTGTAGAGATGAGGTCTCACCAAGTTGCCCAGGTGGGCCTCAAACCCGTGGGCTCAAGCAATCCTCTCACCTCAATCTCCCGAAGTGCTGGGATTACAGATTTGAGCCACCACGCCTGGCATGAAACACTCTTAAGCAAACAAAAAGACAAGCCACAGCCTGGGCAGGTTTTCCCATGCTCTTTCTCCTCTGCTCCCTCCGGGGCAGGGCCTGAGGAAGCAAGAAACCACGTGAATCCATTGACAACCTTCCTTATGCTGACCCAAAGCCCCACATTCAGTCCCTTTCTTTGGGCCTCCTAGAAAACTGGGCTACGGCATCCTGCTCCCAAGAGGGGTCACACATCCTCCAGGGAATTTAGTGTAGAAGGCAAGGATAGGGGAGTGGAATTGGCAGCAACGGGAAACTGCCGGGTGAGGGTGGCACACCTCATCAACAAGGGTACCTGCGTAATGAACATTTGTATACCTAATACTGAATTGTACCCCACATATTCAAAAAAGAAAGCGGCAAGTGGGAGAAAGGGACAAAGGCCCACGTGGAGCAGCCCCGGAATGGGTTCTCCCTGATCTGCTCTGTACTCCTGTACACTGTGCCACATACTGAGGACCAATGACAAAAGGCTCATTGTCCTGACAGAGCTTCTTGTCTGGGGGCACGGGAAGACAGATATTAAATAAATAGCTATCAAATCACTCTTCCATTAGAGCTTGGGATCAGTGCTATAAAGAAATCTACAGGAGAGTGTCAGATACAATGGGAATCCAACTCAGAACATGGTTGATGTAAGCCCCATGTCTGTTACTGAGTGGAACTCGCTGTTTGTTTTACAAATGTAAAATAAAACTGGTTTTTAAGTTGACACCTAAAGGTTGAGTAGTATATTAGTTTCCTATTGCTGCTGTTAAAAATCATCACAAACTTAGTGGTTTAAACAATACACATTATCTTGTACATTATCTTATGGATCAGAAGTCTAAAATGGGTCAGCAGGGCTGTGTTCCTTCCGGAGGGTCCAGAATTTCCTTCCTTGCCTTTTCCAGCTTTTAGTGGTCACCTGCATTCCATATGGGTCTTATGTCCCTCCCTCCATCTTCAATGTCAGCAATGAAGCATCTTCAAAGCTTTCCTCCCTCCCTCCATCCCTCCCCCCTCCCATATATATAGCCTGACCCTGGGCAAGTGAGAATTCACTTTATACATATATATATACATGAAAGTGGGGGTCAGAGTAAGGGTCTGGTTCAGAGTGAGAATCATCAGGCTCAAGGTAAAAGTTGAGTTCAGAGACAGGATCGGGGGCACGGTGAGGATCTGGGACATAATCAAGATCAGCTGATGTTCACTATCAGCGGTAGAGTGAGGTTCACAATCAAGGTCAAGGTAAGAGTGAGGTAAGGTTCAGGACACATTCAGGTCAGGGTCAGAATGAAAGTCAGTAGGGTCAAGACAAAGTTGAGTGTAAGGTTGGGGTAAGTGAAGGTTGGGATCTAGTTAGGTAGAAGGTGAGAGTCAGAAGAGTAAGAAATGGAGTCAGGGTTAAGGTAGAATGATGATGAGTTCAGGATCTAGTTGAGGGTCAAGAACAGAGTCATGATCCAGATAGGCATGGATTATGGTCAGGTTGAGGATCTGGTTAAGGTCTGGATCCTGGCCAGGTTCAGGATCTGGGAGAGTCCCAGGCCTGAATGACAACCAGTGTCAAGGTTGCTGAGGGTTAGATCAATGTGAGAAACAAGAGTTTAGGCGAAGGTTGAATTTCAGGCGAAGGTTGAATTTCAGGGTCAAAATCAGGGTCAGATTTAGATGACTTCCAGGTTCATGGTCAAGGTCATGATAGGAATCTGGGTAAGAGTAATAGAGTGCTGGGGCTCGGTGGCTGTGTCTGTAATCCCAGCGTTTTGGGAGGCCGAGGTGAGTGGATTGCCTGAGCTCGTGCATTCGAGACCTGCCCGGGAAACTTGGTGAGACCTCATCTCTACAATAAATCAAAAACTAGCCAGGCGTGGTAGCGTGCACCTGTAATTCTGGCTACTCAGAAGGCTGAGGCAGAAGGATCGCCGGAGCCCAGCAGGTTGAGGCTGCGGTGGCCAGAAGCGTGCCATTGCGCTTCAGTCTGGGCAACGGAGTGAGACTAACTCAAAAAAATAAAATAGAGTAAGTGAGCCTCAGTGTTGGAGTTAGGATGAGGTCATAATCAGGAAAGGCCAGGTTAAACATCAGATTCAAGGTCAGGGCCAGACTCAAAGAGTAAGAGACATGACTGGGGAGGGTAAGGCTGTGGGTCAGGGTCAGGGAGGTGAGTCCAAATCAGGGTAAAGGTCAGCATCAGGGTCTGGATTAGTGTTAGAGTCACAGCCACTGCCAAGTACAGTACTAGGATGAAGGTCAAGTTTAGGGTCAGGGTATGTCTCGAGGTCACGGTCAATATAAAGGCCAATGCCAGCAATCCCTGCTCCTCTTCCTAAAACCATGTGCTGGCTTTTGTGGATGCAACTTTCTGAAATGCTCTTCCCTCACCTGCTTGGATGGTTTAATGCCTTCTCACCCTCCCTGCTTCCTCCATTAGCATATGAGTGTCGCAAAGGTGGTGATCTTGGAATGAAATGTTTTGCTTATTAAAGGGTCCCAAGCACTTAAGAGAGCCTGGCGCAGAGCAAGGACTAAATAAAAGTTTAATAAACAGTCAGTATGCATTAAAGTATTTCTGGGAAAAAGTGCATCTGGAAAAAAAAATGAAACAAACTGTTTACAGTAGCTCTATCTGGGGAGGAATTATAAGAAAGTTTCATGGTCGATGTTATATATGTCCATATTGTTTTGATTTTTAAAAAGTTAACATTGATTATATTATTATCACCAAAAACGAATCTTTCCATTTTGAGAGAAAACGAACTTTAAGTGCTCGATACAGTGATTGGCACAAAGTACTCACTGATCTGAAGGCCTAACTTCAACTGGCAGCCTTCCTGCAAGCCTTGGAGAAGAAACCTCTCTAGATCCCTCACCTAAAGAGTAAAGACAGAAAGGCAAGACAACATAGAAGGTCTTTCTTCAACAGCAGCTGAGAAACAATACTTCAGTTCTGAAGAGACACATTTCCCCTTGTTCTACTTCACTCCTTTTCCATGTTTCTGTTCTTTGCAGGCCACAGCTTGACTGAGGAAAAAAAGGCGGATGGGTGGGGGAGAATCATCCTAGATGTACTTATACACAACCTTTGAGGGCACAGTTTGGAGGTGGAGTCGCACAGGACACTTGTAAAAGTAGGACAGCAAAGTTTCACTGTAGCCCACTAGAAAATAGAACTTGTGTGCAGGTAGGTGCCTCAGGACCAGGGCACAGATCTCCACCTGGTTAGCTCGGCGCTTTAAGACCAGCTGGTCAGCCAGGCAGCCTGGGAAGGTACCCAGCATAAACTTGCGAAGAAAAACATCCTCCACTGTTCGCTCTGCAGCATGGTCCTCTCCATCCAGGTTACCTGAAGAGGGAAAGGGCATCATAGAAGAGTCAGACCTGTTGCACCAGGGTCCTGCTAAAATTCCAGAGTCAACATCAAAGGCACTAGGCACTCAATTCCACCACTCACCCCAGCTTCCTCTATTAACTGAATACGAATAACTTTTTTTTCTCACTGTAGGCTCACTACAGTCTCAACCTCCTGGGCTCAGGCAATCCTATTGCCTCAGATTCCCAAGTAGCAGGGACTACAGGCACACACCACCACACCTGGCTGATTTTTTTCATTTAAAAAAAATGTGTTTTCACAATGTATAACATGTTTATTAATTTGAATAAAAACACTAAAAGAGATCAGTAGCACTAGTGAGTATATATAAAGATAGGGAAAAGGGAAAAAGGAATGGGAAGGGCACATTAAATTTATGACAATGGTGCTTCAAGTGCCACAGCAGTGAGGCCCCTCACTCCATCAGAGGGTTGGGCAGCAGTGGAGCTGGAGTCCAGTACAGCTGTCCAATGTCCAGAACTGATGCCCAGCCAAACTGTACTGAGGCAGTTGAGCCTGCTGACCTGGGCACTCACTGGCTTCCGAGATTCAGGATGGCCTGCTCTCCTTGGCCTTGAGAGTGCTGCTGGCCTACTAGGATGGGGGCTCCATCTGGCAGGACAGGTTGTAGCTCTCCTTCTCCTGAGTTGCTCCAGAGAAACTAGACCCAAAATTGCTTCTCAGGCTGAAGGTGGTAATTTCCTACAGCATCTCCCAGAGGACCTGGGTCTCCTCCTTCCTTTTCTGGGTATTGGTCAATTTCTATCCACCTAGTCCTTCAGGGTAGTGTCTAGCACCAGCAGTTCAGTGAGAAATATGCCCAGGAAGGGAATATTGCCTTCCTTCTACCTCTACTGCCTCAATCGAAATCTCTGGGGATTCCTCTACTGGCTGACCAACTTGGAGGTCCCCACCTTGATGAACAGAATCCTGCTCAGTGCATTGTTCTTACTGCACAGATCTTTAAAGTTTCTGGAGCTTACACTAAACTTCTCCCCATGTCTTCTTGAGTTGATGGGATTGGGGTGTTTTCCAGAGCAGAGAGGATGGCATGGACTAAAGAGTAATTTCGGAGGATGAGGCAATCCCTGGTCACGTTGATAGTGTTTCACCACCCTGGCCCTGTTGAGGGCCTTCACACTGTGGTCCTCGAGGCAGGTGGTGATGACAGTTGGTCACACTGTGGAACTGGGTGTTGGTAGCATGGATGGTGGGTGCCAGTTGCTCCACGTTCCCCCTCCTTGTTCCACTGCTCTTGATGGAACCCAGGCATTCACAGCGCACCCACCTTCCTTTTTTTTTTTTTTTTTTTGGTCAGTCTTACTCTGTCATCCAGGCTGGAGTGCAGTGGCATGCTCACAGTGACTAGTTTCAACCCCCCAGATTCAGGCAATCCTTCCACCTCATCTTCCAAGTAGCTGGAATTTCAGGCGTTCACCACCATGCTCGGTTCTTTTTTTTTTTTGAGTTGGAGTCTCACTGTGTCACCCAGACTGGAGTACAGTGGCACGCTCCCAGCCACCGCAGCCTCAACCTGCTGAGCTCTGGCAATCCTTCCGCCTCAGACTTCAAGTAGCTGGAACTACAGGCATGTGCTACCATGCCTGGCTAATTTTTTACTTATTGTAGAGATGAGGTCTCACCAAGTTGCCCAGGCGAGTCTCGAACCCACGGTCTCAGGCAATCCACTCACCTCAGCCTCCCAAAGGCGTGGGATTACAGGCTGAGCCACCAAGCCTGGCTACATTTTTTGGATTTATCGTAGAGATAAAGTCTTGCCAAGTTGTACAGGCTGGCCTCGAATCCTTGGGCTCAGGCAATCCTCTCACCTCTGCCTCCAAAAGTGCTGGGATTACAGGCATGAGCCACCACACCTGGCAGACACCACCTTCTTGAACAGCTCTGCATCCCTCAGTCAACTCCTTTGCCAGCAGCTTAGGGGTGGAGAACACATGATGCCAGGCAGCTGCTCACTGGGCTGGTTCTTTGCCATACCAGGACAGGAGAGGGGGCTCTAGAGCTGGCTGTAGCTCCAGCGCTGTCACAGGAGGTGGCTGTTTTCCCAGTACCGGCTCTGGCTGTGGTGGGCACACCTGGGCTGTAGAGGACTCTGGCTCCAGAGCAGATATCAGCTCTGCCAGAGGCACTGGCACTGGCTCGAAGGCCAGCATTGCAAATGCCTGTGTCTCCTGTGCCTCTGCCTCAATGGGCTCCGCAGGCTCCAACAAGAAACCATGTGCACAAGATACTGCAGGCTTGATCCAGGCCAGCTGACCTTAAGCTTGAATGATGCAAAGTCCGAGGACCGAGAGAGATCTACAGGGTACCAGTCTGGCCAGGAGACCAAGATGGAAGCGATGGTGCTGCTGAGCAGCTGCCCAGGAACTGTGGCATGGTGGTAAAGGCCCAGAAGGAACTCAGAAATGTGGTGGGGGAGAAGAGGCTCTTCCCGGAGGGCTGGAACGAGGGACTGCAGCAGCTGTCCCCTTGGCCTGGCTGAGGGGCGGGTCTCATACAGATCTCCCTCTAGGTCCAGGGTAGACCCACAAACAGCCCAGTGCATGCTATGGCTGTTGGCGTGCTGCAGCTGCTCTTCGACCAAGGAGATGCAGGAGTTGAACCCACCATTCACCTCCTTGCTGACCTGCTATGTCAAGTTCTGTGGGTGCCCCCTGCCAGATGGGAGATGCATCGGGGCTGATGGCTGAAAAGGCCCCCACTTCAGGCCTTTCTGAAGCAAGAGCCCTGAAGAGTTCAATACAGCAAAAGAACATCTTGCTCTCTTGAGCATCTCCTGCCAAGTGAGCTGGGTGCCCGGTTAGCAAAGGTATAAGTTGTGGTGAGGTCAGCAGTAGGACTGTCTGAGTGGCCCTCTTCTCTGGGGAAGGTCTTGGGAAGCTGGTGCTGTGAAGGTACCAGGATCTCCTCTGATGCCCAGCTTAGTCTTCGGAGTAAACCAGTGTATGTGTGATGAGGTCACCAAGTCAAGGTTATAAGGAAGAAATGGAATCAGTTCATCTTCCTCCAGGTCCATAATTGTCATGTTACCAGGTCACATCTTGTGTTGGAAAGGTCATTCTGTGGGGTCTCTGAGAACAGTGCCGAGGGGGCCCTGAGGTCTCTCCTACTCAAGGTGAGGTACACTCCCAGTCTCAGGCCTTCCCAGGCCCAGAAAGGAAGAGAAAACTCCCTCTAGTTCCCTACCTGCCCCAATTTTTAAAAAAAAAATGTTTTTTAGAGACAGAGTCTCGCTATGTTGCCCAGGCTGGTCTCAAACTCCTGGGCTCAAGCAACCTACCTCACCTTTGCCTTCCACAGTACTGGGATAATAGGTGTGAGTCACCACACCCAGCCAAGAGTAACACTTTAAAGTTCCAAGTATGTTATGTCATTCATTCCCAGACCAATCCTGTTAAGTAGGTATTATTATTATCCTTGTTTTACGAAAAGGAAGATGGAGGCCTGAGCCAGGGTACAAAACTCAGGTGATGCCTCCACATCTAGACCCTTTTCCAACCTTTCTCAGCTGTCTTATAAAAGCTTTGGTCCTTCCATGGTCCAGAAAGATGGGCCACCAGCTATTTGTGTGATTAGGGTCATGAGCTCTCCCATGAGCTGGGGCCATGGCCTCCACCAGCAGATTCTCAGCATGAATCCTGGACCCCGGCAGTCCTTACAATGTCTGTTAAAAGAGTCTGTACATACATACACATACCTTAGACCAGAGCCTAGAAGAATGGAGACAAGAACATGTGTTTTATTTTATTTTTAAATTTTTTTGGGAGTCGGGGTCTCATTCTGTCATCCAGGTTGGAGCTCAGGGACATGATCACAGCTTACCACAGCCTCGACCTCCTGGGCTCAGGCAATCCTTCTGCCCCAGTAGCTGGGACTACATACACGTGCCACCATGCCCGGTTAATTTTTTTTTTTGGTAGAGACAAGGCCTTGCTATGTTGCCCAGATTGGTCTTGAACTCCTGGGCCCCAGCAATCCTCCCACTGCAGCCTCCCAAAGTGCTGAGATTACAGGCGTGAGCCAATGCACTAGGGTAGAACATGTATTTTAAGTAAATTATCTAGATGCATTTCCAACATCCAAATTGAGAACCCTCACACCAAACAGTTGATTTTCAATAGTTCACAGAAGTTATGTTCTATGTCACTGTAGATACTCAGATGGTGAATACTGAACCAGTACTTCTAGGGGAAATACGGGGTTAGGTTTCTTCCAGCTTCTGAGCACAATATTTTCATACATAACCTAGCTTCACACGTGTTTCTGTTTAAAGACACCTTGCTTAATATATATAGTTGATTCATTAACAACGAACTCAGGATCAATAGCAACTCATGCCTGAAAAAATTCCCTAATACACTTGTGTTTTCAAAAGGTACTTTATAGCTTCCTTACGCTTAGGAACACTAGATAGCATCTCAGCCCTATACAGATATTTTAAACAGAAAAATCACTAATAAGAAGCACAAGACACAAGACTGGGCGCGGTGGCTCAAGCCTGTAATCCCAGCACTTTGGGAGGCCAAGGTAGGAAGACTGCCTGAGCCCAAGGGTTCGAGACCAGCCTGGACAACTTGGTGAGACCTTGTCTCTACAATAAATCAAAACATTAGCCAGGCGTGGTAGTGCATGCCTATAGTTCCAGTTACTTGGAAGGCTGAGGTGGAAGGATCACCTGAGCCCAGCAGATTGAGGGTGCAGTGGCTGTGAGCATGCCACTGCACTCCAGCCTGGGCGACAGAGTGAGACTCTGACTCAAAAAAAAAAAAAGAGCACAAAAAGGCTGGGCATGGTGGTTCACTCCTGTAAACGCAGCAGTTTGGGAGGTTGAGGCAGGAAGACTGCTTGAGACAGGAGTTCAAGACCTGCCTAAGCAACACAGTGAGACCTTATCTCTACAAAAAATTTAAAAATTAGCCAGATGTGGTGATATGTGCCATATGTCAAGAAATTTAAAAATTAGCCAGATGTGGTGACATGCGCCAGCTACTTGGGAGGTTGAGGCAGGAGGATCACTTGAGCCCAGGAGTTAAAGGCTGCAGTGAGCTATGACTGTGCCTGTACTCTAGACTGGGTGACAAAGCAAGACTCCACCTCAGGAAAAAAAAGCACCAATGTGCAGAAAACATGGCTCTAGACCATGAAAAGTACATTTTTTACAGTATGAGAGCTAAAAAAAGGTAGAGCATTGTCTACCTCAGCTGGGAACATGTACTTGGGGTGGCTGCTCTGCCCATATCCTAGAGTGACCTTGAAAACACCCAAAGTGTTACAAATAAATTTCAGTCAGTAGAAGAATTTGCAAACATGGAATCTGTGAGTAATGAGAATCAATTGGACACATTAGTAGATTAAAAATTTGTGCTTAAGCCAGGCACAATGGCTCACACCTGTAATTCCAGCACTTTGGGAGGCAGAGGCGAGAGTACTGCTTGAGCCCAGGAGTTTGAGAGCAGCCTAGGCAACATAGCAAGACCCCGACTCCACAAAAAATTAGCCAGGCGTGGTGGCGCATGCCTGTAGGTCCAACTGTTGGGAAGGCTGAGGTGGAAGGATTGCCTGAGCACAGCAGGCAGAGGCTGCGGTGGCCATGAGCATGCCACTGCACTCCAGCCTGGGCAACAGAGTGAGACACCAACTCAAAAAAAAAAAAAAAAAGAAAATATGCTTCAGTGGAAAACTGCATTACTTAGCACACACTCTTCAGGGTTACCAAATTCTATGGGAGATTCACTCTTTTCATTGCCTCTGAGCTATTTTATAGCTCTGTAAATCATAGACAATTAGTAGTAATGTACAAGAGTTTTTGTCTGTAGACATGCAAATAACTTCTGTTCAGTGGAATCTCAACTGAGTCCTCGCCCCCTCCCCAAAACTGGAAAAAATCGGTTTTGCATTCATCTTCAGTTTCATTTCAACATCCTGACTTATACACGTTCCTCCTTTTTTATGCTCTCCTCTGGCTCCACAGATTCCTGACCCTGGCATTATTTCCTGAATTAAACAAAACCTGTGACAGGAGTTCATTGTCTGCAGACAGCTGGTCTGAATGCTCCTTCTGGAAGCCTGGGGCCCCCTCACCTGTGTGCAGCGACAGCCAGCCCTTACGGTGAGCGATGTAGTGCGGTGCGTGCGCCTCCTCGTAGCTCACGGGCTTGTCCCCCTTGCCCACGCGGACACGGGCCGCCCGGTTC